AAATAAACATCCATTTAGGTGGCACTTGAAGAAGTGACTCGTTCTGTAGAAGTGGGTGCGGTGTGGGGAGGGAGAGGGAGCGGGCGGGGTTTGGGGAGGGAAAGGGAGCGGGCGAGATTTGAGAAGGGAGGACTCCGTTTCCTCCAAGCCCTGCCTTTCCTCAAACCTCTCATGCTCCTCTCAAGCCCCATCCGCTTCCCTCTCTCCCAAACGGCTTGAGATGGGCATGCCTTCGAGAGTTAAAATAAACTCTCATGCACGTCTAGGTCTTACACAGCAGAGCCCTAAAAGAAACATGAAAACTGTTCCGGGGACCGATGGATATAAAAAACTGAAACGTTGCAGGGGTCTGTGCAAAAGCTAAATCCGCATAAATTCAGCTATCGAGTACGTTTACGTCATGAGTAAAGTCACATTAGAGTTCGCAGTTGTATCGTGCCAAATCGAAAACTAGCGAAAAAACAGTAGCTGTAATTCTGTTAGAATTACTATCGTCCATCTGAAAAATCTTCATGCGTAAATGGAGCTTCAATTTGCATCTACGCCTTATCTCGGAGCACTTAGAAGATATTTGTAGTGAAATGGCGTTTTTGGGAACTTGACCAAGTTGCAAAAGCTGAAATTTGCAATAATATTCTATATTTATTTATGGTCTAAATCCAGCTTGAAATTTAAATTCTCTACGTGCGGGCATAAAAAATATTTTATTGCAACCTCAAAAATGAGTACACTTTACGGATTTCGTCATCCTTCTCTCTCGATATCCTTTTCATCCTCCAGTTTGCATTTTCGATGAACGACTGCTCACCAAGGATTATTCATTTATTTTCGTGCAAAATTAATGGTAATCATGCATGTTAGATGTTAAAATTTCACTCGGTCCCACAAATACAACACTACCACTTCAGCCTACGCCCTTCTCCTCTGCCTGCAAGAAAAAGTCAAAAATACAGGCAGCATGAGTCCAACTGTAAAACATCAACTATTCAGTCTGACTGCTTCAAGTTTACTGCAAAAATGCATAACTGCACCGGTAAGCCTGATACTTCGCTGCTGAGTTCCAAATCACGATCGTGTCCGAAACAAATCCTCTTGCTAGTTGTGTGCACGAAATAAACACAGTAGCAGATAGGTCGATGCGTTTTTATTTTATGCT